TGCATTATTGGAGAGTAGAATGCCAATGTTGGATATATTAAGGAAAACACAGTCATACTATATAGTCTAGGAAACAGCATGCAGCAGAATAATATATTAATTCTGATATTTAATTTGATAACTTCATTGTAACCCAATCTTCCAACAACTGATGCCTATATACTTAGATATTCCACTTAGAATACACAGAAATAAAATTGACTTTATTATTAGTACAAGGAAGCTGAGCTATAAGTGCAAAGATATGACCAGGGATCTACTGCAGAACAGATCATAAATTGCTCAGTTGCAAGTTAAAAGTTAACGCAGAAGAAAAAAGCCAATCAATTTCCATCATGTGATCTTGTGTATATAACCACAATTTTCAGTAAGAACTTTGGAATTTATTTGAAGATGTTAAGAATGGATGTGAAAAGAGATTGCTGAAGACCAAGAAATAGAAGAAATTATGTCAAAACAAATGGTGGAAAGTGTTGAGAAGAAAAGCCAAGAAAGATGAAGACCTCAGACAGCAATTCAACAGAGGACTCCTGCCTTGACAGGGGAATGCACTAGAAGACCTCCAAGGTCCCATCAGCCCTATGATTCTGTGACAACCTAGAATGAAACAACCCATAATTTTCACTAAATGTACAAGTCACCAAGGTCAAATTGTTATATTGTGGACATTATGCAACTTTCTATCTAGATAAATTATAACGGTAGATGGAAGAAAGGAAAACAAGAGGATGACCAGCAGGAAGATGGCTGTATATAATTGTAGGAATCATAAACACACTACTGGAAAATCTGAAGGGTTAGATTGTGAATATATAGTCCTGGAGAAAATATGTCAATCACAATTTTGTGGCACGATCACAATTTTGGCACCTAATCAACCAATCAATAACTGTGGATGGATAAAATTTCAAGTTAAAATTGTGCTTATCACACTTTTGGAGGAATAGGAAGCAATGGCTTCCTTAAATAATAAGATATGAAGTTACAGTTCTCAGAGCAATTTTAACTCTGGCATTTATCAGCCATTAATTTCAGCATCCTGATATTTAGAAAAAGTTAAAGACACAAAATCAGATAAAAATTTCAACATTACGAATGAAATTATCTTCATATTCACTTGGAGATTATTGCCTTTTTTGAAATTTTCAAATATAAATATGCATTTGTTCATTTGTTTAAATTTAATTCATTGTGTTTCTTTCAAAATATTTAATTATGATTCTAAGCTAAAATTAGTACAACAATTGGGTTTCTCATTGTTAGTTGTACTATGATACCTCCTCAAGTTGGAATCTCATATTTTTAATATTGCTTTTGTGATCATCACTTTGTTCAGTACTTATCAGATTACAATCACTTTTCAGCACAACTTGACTGTCCAAGTACCGGTATTCTTCTTGAAAGAAGTTTTATTGGTTTTTTTAGTTTTCAAAACAAGACACACCATGGTGTTAGGGTAGACAAACATCCAAAGACAAAACATATATACATAATTCAATCTAATATTCCCTCTCTTTTCCCCTTAAGTAACATAATTTATTTAAAATAGTCCAATTCTAGCTTAAATTTATTCAGCCTATACCTGTTTTTAAAGCTTTAGAAATTTACACTACCATAATCAAATTAACTTTAACTTTATCAATTTGAGTATCCCTTCCAAATATATTCTAGTTCCTTGATTTTATCATTAATCCTATTTAATTCTTCTTCCACTAATATCCCTTATTTAAAATAAAATATTAATCTATTCTATACGTACCTAGTCCATCAATTAATCAATCTCTTTAAGCTAACAGAAGAAAATCAGACCTTAAGTCATTTTGATCCATTAAACAGAATTCAAATTACATCCAATTAATTGTCATAACTAATAACATCCGTGTTATTAAACAAACAAATCATTTTATTAAATTAATTTAACATTACATAATAATTTTCTTACAAGTACTCCTATTGTCCTAAAAAAGAAAAATGAACACACTCTTAATCAATTTAATATATATTCCATTAATCACCCTTTTTCTCTTTCTTCTAACTCATAGTCTTAATCCTAAAGTCAACCCATAATTCTAGATTACTTAATCCATTACCTAAAAACATCTCCTTTTTAAGCTAAAATATTGATTTATCCTAGACCTATCTAATCCATCAATCAATCTCTTTAAGCTGACAAGAGAGCATCAAACCTTAAAATATTTCAATTCATTAAACATCAAACAAATAAATCATCTTGTTAAAAATAGTAATTTTCATATAGATAAACTTTATATGTCTGCCATTAGTCGCCCATTTCTCTTACATCTAACTCATAATCTTAGTCCTTAAATCAGTCCATAGTTCTAGGTTGCCTTTAGTCCATTACATAAAATTTTAAGTTTCACTTTTTTCAGTCTTATTCTGGATTTCCTCTTATGCCAAGTAGATTTCCATAACAAAGCTTCCCTTCCAGCTGATAAGTCTCTCTTTATTGCTTGTAGTATCATTTGGATCAGTGAGAACCATCTTGGCCTCTCCATTGGCCCTCTGATTCTCTTAACCATAAAGTCTCATTGCTTTAACATTTCAAGTCTCAGACTTTGTTTCTTCTGATCCTCACCACCATAAGTGAATTGCTTATAAGGCAAAATCAATTTCTCTTTATTCTCACTTAAGTCCTCTTCTTGTGTAATCTGTTTTATAGAAGAATCAGGTGTAGTCTGAAAATCAATTGTGAAGTTTGAAGGAGAGATTCTGGCTCTTAATTCTGTAGTAAGCTCTTTCATTGTAGCACATATTTCTTCTTTAGCCTCGTAGATCTTTTCCAGAATAAGTTTACAATTTAAATGTGAGTACAACTCCATTTTAAAAGTTGTTCAGCTGCATCAAATTATCTTTCTCTTGAAGAACAGTTTAAAGGCCAAAACCATCTCCTCTCCAACTAGACAACAATTACAATATTAGCTTTTAACCAGTAGATGTCCTCAGTGAGCTAAAAAAATCTTTTTCAAAAGTCATTTTTTTTCTTTTCCCTTTTTTTCTATTTTTTCAGGAAAAGGTGGAGGAAGAAATACTCCAAAAAAGACACAACAGCATAGACTGATTGTAGAATTCTTAGGAAAAAACTTTTTCCAGTACCCCAAAACATGTTTTAAAAATGTAATCTTTAAAGCTTTGTTCTATCCTTTTGTTCGCCTTTCTTCCCAAACATGTAAAAGCTGCCTTTCCAAGCCAGGGAAATAATTCCAACAGGGCTCTTACAGGCAAAAAAAAAAAAAAAAAAAAAAATGCAAAAAATGCAAAAAGGTATAAAGGTATACCAAAAAGGTATAAAGAGAGGAACAAAAAGATTCACTATGGTGGGTTTTCAAGCTTAGCTGTTCTTTGACTTGCGGTTTCTAGCGGCTAGGTTATCGGCCATTTTACTGGCCGATCTTCTTCTCTGTTGGCCCTCAGAGTTGGCCTGGACAGCTGGAGGAGGCACCGCTCCTCCTTTGCCAAGCAAAGCCTCTTCGACAGAAGTCGCACCCTCCAGGGCGACTTTAGACCCGCATAAGGGTCTACCGGCAGAGGGAGGCTAGCCGATGAGGAGACGAGTCTCTTCGTACGACTAGAAGCGCTGCAACCCCAACTGTCTAAGCATTCTAATGGCAGGTTTTTTCCCACTACATTTTTCTTAAGAATGAATAACAGATGTGACTAGTGAATCTCTATATGCAAATTAACAACTTTCCTGCTTGAATATGAACACTGCTGAATAAATTAACGCATATTTACATGACATACAGTACTTCAATACCTGGCATCTGTAAAATGTACTAGAGAACGAGAAAAAAATCTCTGTAGAACTTTGGCAGTTAGTGTCTTTCAGAAATGATGGAATTTTAAAATCATAATCCAAATATAATTCTTGTCCATGTGCTTCAAAATCTAAAAAATATTGTAAAAATTCTCAATCCCCCTTCAATTATAGTGAAAAATTACTCAAAGTTTGTTTAAAATGAAATACTTTCATCTACTGAAATCAGTTGGATTGGGCTCCAAATTAATGTAAAACTTTCTGTCACTTCTGAATTCTAATTCTTGTTAAAATCTTTATCTTAATCTATTTTATTCTGAGATACAGCCTAATTCCTTTGGTAGTATGCATATGATACCATGTACATCTAGAACCTTCAGGCAGTGCCTAGATTAGCTATTAATCTTACTTTATTTTATATCTTTTAATATTGTGTACCACTACACAGAACATGGCAGCTGTAAAACATCTGTAGCAAATATAAACTATTTCTTCATATCCATTTGTGCCATGAGACTCACAGGAATTATTTTCTTATTTGTGATTGTCACTTAAATATTTATTTGAAAATATTTAAAGATCCATAATGCTTACAGATGAACATTGGGGTGAAATGCTGGTATTTCCATTTTACTAATAACAAACTGGAGTCAAGTGATAGTGATTTTTAGCTGTGTGAATTTAAAAGGAGCTAGAATTAACTTCAAATTTTAAGTTGCTATTTCGCAATTGTAGATGAGCACATAGTCTTGGTTATCTTGAAAGATCAACTAAAAATATAACAGTGGATGAATTTATATGCTAAACAGTAGTTATTTAGCTTTTGTTTAGTATGTGTGAGCCTTTATAATTGATTTATTCATGAGTGCAGGTTTATGAATTGACATGAAGTGTGATCATCTCTTTGTGATTTGTTCATGATTAAACAAAGTATATTTATTTGACATATGAACTTAGTTACAGATCCCTTTCAAAAAGGTTTCAGGCTTTATATCAAACTAAACATATCCCATCAACTGTGAATTTTTGTTTTTCAAAAGCTTTATTTCCTCTGTTTTGTTTTGGTGTTTTGTTTTATTTTGAATTCCATCTGAGTGATAAAAGTTTGGATGACCTCCAAGTATGAATGTAAGGTAACATTTAGAATTTAGAAATGACTATTGTTGTTTATAACTTTGTGAGGAATCCTTTGTAACTCCAGCTTGATTTTTTAAATCCTTTATAGCTACCTCATCCCTGAATTCCCAACTCCAGCAGCTCCAGCAGCTCCAACAATTCCAGCAGCAGCAACAGCAGCAGCAGCAGAGCCAAATTAGCCAGCAAGGACAGGGACAAGCTAGTCAATCCCAGCAGCAACCAACACAGCCACAACTGCCTCAACAGCAACAACACCCTCCACCACCACCACCACCACCACCACCACAGCAACAGTCTCAGAATCAAAATCCACCAGTTCCAGCCCATCAAACTTCAAGCTCCCCCACAAAGACCAACCTACCTCCAGTTCATGCTCTTCCATCTTCTCTCACATCCTCAAACCCCCGTCAGGTAAGTGCTAGATGATCTGCTTGTTGTCTATTACCTTATCCAGCTTTGTCTTTTATTTGAATAGTTTCTACCATTTTTCAGTGGTGAATAGTTTCTACCACTTTTTAGTGTGGCCTGATTTTGTTTTACATAATGTAAGCATTATGGTCAGCATATTATGGCCAAAGCTCTGGATTATTCATTTTTTTCTTAAATGAGTGACTGACATGACAACTCTTATTTTATCATCTTTAGCATTTCCAAAGTTTTAAGATGTTTATATGCTTTCTATGCACATATACATACATTCATATTTTGACTTCACAATAACCTTTGGATTCAAATGTTTCATGCCAGCATATTCCACATTTGAAGTAGGGATGGTGCTAGTGTTTCTCTACTACAGATGGAATGTGGAACTGGAGAAAGAAAAGGAGAGCTATTTTCAGTACAGGAACTACTGGTTTTTATTCATCTGTCTCATGTTAAACTGTCCTTCCTTCAGAGAGCCAAGAGTAGAAATTATGATTTCCTTCCCCCCTCATTCCAATTATATCTTCACAATGGACTTAATGTGGACTGTTGTAATTATATATTCACAATGGACTTAATGTGAATTGTTGTAATGAATAAATAGGTTAAAAAGTATACAGTAGCAATGGATTGGATAAAAACTTAAGGAATGAAATAACATATTAAAGGGGGGGGGGAATTGCATCAGCATTCAGAACTACAGAAGTATTCCTGATTAAACATAGACAACAGTAACAATTAGAATAGAATAGAGCTGGGTGGGACCTTGAAGGCCTTCTAGTTCAGCCCCCTTCTCAAGCAGAAGAATCTATACCATCTCAGACAAGTGACTGTCTAGCCTCTTTTTAAAAATCTCCAGTGATGGAGTGCCCACGATTTCTGGGGGCAAGCTATTCCACTGGTTAATTGTCCTCACTATCAGGAAGTTTCTCCTTAATTCCAGATTGCTTCTCTCTTTGATCAGTTTCCAATCATTGTTTCTTGTCTGCCCTCTGGTGCTTTGGTGAATAACGTGATCCCCCCTCTTCTTTGTGGCAATCCCTCAAACTGCTATCATGTCTCCCCTCTTTCTTCTTTTCTTTAAACTAGCCAAAGCCAAGTCCCACAGCCTTTCTTATAAAATCTTTTAGTCTCCAGGCCTTTGATTATCTTAGTTGCTCTTCTCTGAATTTTTTTGAAACTCTCAACATCATTTTTGTGATATGGTGACCAAAACTGATCTTACTAGGGTTTTATAAAGTGGTACTAATACCTCGTGTGATCTTGATTCTATATCTCTATTTATACAACCCAGGATTGTATTAGCTTTTTTGGCTGCTTCTGCACACTGCTGGCTCATGATTAAGTAATTGTCCACTAGTACTCCAAGGTCCTTCTCACAGTTACTTTTTTTAAGCCAGGTTTTGCCCAATCTGTACTTCTACCTTTGATTTTTCCTACCTAAATGAAAAACTTTGCTTTTCTCCACATTGAAACTCATTTTGTTGGCCAGGGCCCATTGTTCAGGTTTGTCAAGATCTTTTTGGATCCTGAGTTTGTCTTCTGGGGTGTTGGCTACTCCTGTCAGTTTGGTGTCATCTGCAAAGTTGATGAATTCCCCTTCAATTCCCTCATCTAAGTCATTGATGAAGACAATTAGCAGTTTCAATATTTTTAAAACAGATACATTGCCTGGAGAAGAGGAGAGTAACGACTGAAAAAATCCTACCCCATATTTTACCAAATGTTTCCTTTATGTTCTCAATAAATAAATCCAATATAATGTATGATGGTCAAAAAGCCAAACAAACTGGAAAAATATATTCCCTAAACAGGGATACCTAAAAGGAAAGTTGTGACTGGATTATTTTTATCTTCCAAAAAATATTTGACTACAATTTCCTGAATTCCTGACTATTGTATTGGAGGGCATTAAATACTCACAGATGCCTCTAATTTATTAAATATATAATTTAAACTGTCTATAAAGTATGTTTAGTAGTAAGTATTGTGGATCAAGTGTACTTGTTAATAATTTGACTGATTATTCTTTGTTTCCAGGTAAACACTTTGATTAATCTATAGTTTCCAGATGTTTTTGATGATACAGTGTTGACACACATTTTTAGCAGAATTAAACTCCTATTATGCTTGAAAAGAAAATTGTTTCCAAAGAAAGCAATAATTTTTGCATTACATGTGGAAAGAAAGAAAGTACAAATTCAAGTAAATGTTAGCTAGGTAGAAATGGGCATTCTGGTTATTCAGAATGTCAGCTTTTTCACTTCCTTTCATTGTTTCTTTGATAATAAATTATCCCTTGGTGATGATCATGTCAATGCCCATGATGTCAGTTTTACTAGTTGATTTCTACATGTCACATAGCACAAGAACAAGCAAAATTGTTTTCCTCCTGACCAGTGAATAAGTCTAGATGTATTCTTTTGATAGAAGAGGCCCAGAATGGGCTTCTGGAAGTGGCATCCACACAGAGAACCGGTTGTTCACATATTTGAATCCCACCACTGGGTTGGACTAGATGACCTCCAAGGTCCCTTCTAACTTTATTATTATTATTATGGATCATCGCACAGTTAGCCAGATGTTCAGACTGGATTTGGCATTTTGTCTATCTATCGAGTCCTTACCCAGGACCTGGGATAGGCAAATGTGGATGTTTGATGGTATTACAGATATCGTTGCAGGATAGAAGCAGTTCCTAGTAAGGCAATTGACTAACAGCAAATTTGTCAGTGCTAATGGTGTTCAAGTGATGCTCCAGTTGTTTTGGGATTGCACCCAAGGCGCCTATTACTATTGGTACTACCCTTGCTTGCTTTTGCCACAGTCTTTCTATTTCTATTTGTAGGTCTTTGTATTTTGTTATCTTCTCCAGTTCTTTCTCGTCTATTCTGCTGTCTCCAGGCACTGCCACATCCAGTATCTAGACTTTTTTGTCTTTCTTATCGACAATTGTTAAGTCTGGGGTGTTGTTGTTCTTGTTGTTATTATTATTATTATTGATCTTCTTGACACTGCCTCCAAGAATCAGATAACATTACTGCAAACTATTTTTAATTGCTTATAAAAATACATTAAAATTATTCTTGCAGGACATCAGTAGTTGGGGTTCACCTAGTTGTAATATATGCATGTAAGCATGTGTGTTTGTGTGTAATGACAGCCAGTTTGGTGTAGTAATTAAGGTACCAGGATGTAACTTGGAGACTAGTGACTGATGTTGCAGAACAACACCCACAGTTACTACAGTATCCTCATTGTGCCAGACTCTGCATCTCTTGACTGAAGCTGCAAAGATATTTCCATGATGAACTGCACACAAAAGTATGTCTTATTCAAACTCGAAGGACTAGCATATATATCACAAGTGTGTTTGTGTGTAATGTGTAATGTATGCTTAAGGTACCAGAATGTAGTCTGGATACTGTGAGTTTTAGTCCTGACTTAGGCACAAAGCCAACTGGGTAATCATGGCCCAGTCTTAGTAAGAAGCCAGTAACAAATCACTTCCAAAATGTTGCCAAGAAAACAGAGGCAAGTCTTAGCAATCACCAGGTCTCAACATTGTCTTGAAAGCATAACAATAACAACAACAATATTAACTCTGGAAATATTAAATTCATTGGACTGGAACACCGTAATTTTTTAAAAAAACCTTACTCTACATAGAATTCCTATATTCTTAGATGCTTCCTTGATTAGGACTTGGGTTTTAGGTTTCCACCTGTCTTACTTTAACCTAATTGCAGATTATCCACAGATAATAAAGCCCTGCAAATAGAAATAGAAAGATTGGGGCAAAAGAAAACAAAGTTACTACTAATACTAATAGACCTCTTGGGTGTAATCCCAAAACAACTGGAGCACTACTTGAAACCAACAGCATTAACAAAATTACTGTTAGTGAGTTGCAAAAGGTAGTTTTACTTGGAACAGATTACATCCTGTGATAATATTTTTATGATTCTCAAACAACATTTTCTGATGCCAGGCCCTTGGAAAGGACTTGATAGGTGGACAAAAATGCCAAATCAAGTCTAAACATTTGGCTGACCATGTGATGAACCATAATAATAAAAACTGAAGTCAAGAACAAGATTAGTAATTAATACATCATGAGACTAAAGAAGATCTTACAATCCAAACCCATTGTAAGAAATAACATTAAGGTAATTAACACTTGGACAGTTCCAATGATTAGATTTTTATTTATTTATTAAATTTTTATGCCAATTATTTCCCCTATGGTGGAATATTTCCCCTGAGTGACATAAAATTAGAATAATAATTAAAATAAAAGCAACATACAATTAGAATAATGGTTAAAATAAAATAATATAAAAGTAGCATAAAATGAGAATAAAAATTAAAATTAAATAAAAATTAAATAAAAAAATTAGATACACAGCTGAAGAATGGACTGTAATCAGGAAGAATTAAAGATATAAGACCACATTAGCTGCTGCAAGAAAATTGTACAGACTGACTACAAGCAGTGGCATGACAAAGTAGCAACAATGGCACATTGGAAGATCTGCAAGAAATTTGCCTGCAATCAAGAACTGGTGGACCATAAAATAGAAAAAGTAATGGAAAATGAAAAATCTAAAGTGCTCTGGATTTTTAGAATTCAAACAGATAGGCCCCTTGCCGCATAACATACCAAACTTAGCAATTGTCAATAAGCAAAAGAGTGTGGATAGTGTTCATGGCAGTACCTGATGACAGCAGAAGAGGAGAGAAGGAACTAGAGAAAGTAACAAAATACCAAGACCTGCAAATAGAAATAGAATGAGTGTGGCAAAAGAAAGCGAAAGTACTACCAGTAGTAATAGGCCCCTTAGATGCAATCATCAAAACAACAGGAATACCACTTGAACACCATCAACATTGACAAATTCAGCATCAGTTAGTTGCAAAAGGCAGCTTTATTTAAAACAACTTACAATACCTTTAACATCATAAAACATCATCTGTCTATCCCAGGT